ACTGCCTCAGAAACCCAAGGAGGGGTCACTAGGAGTCGGGGCCGACTCGATGGCAAATAACAACAACAACATTAAGCGCCCACAGGTTTTCTGAATGGTGCACTAGTAGTGGCCTAAGGACAGCATCACCAGTGGCATTAATAATAGGCATTAGGATAAACCTGCCCTTTGATGCCTTTTGTTCCTTGCCTGCTTTTCTTCTATTGAAATGAATGTCTTGCTCAGCAGTTTTTTTCCAATAACTTGTTGTAAAGTTAAACACTTGCTTACATGAATAACCACCTTCTGTAATTATTTTCAGGAGCTCTGGTAGCATAGTGCCTAAGGCACTTGACTGCTAAACCCCTCTGAGTTGTTGACAATGGTAGCTGGGCACCATCTAGTTCTGGTCTCATGGTCATACAGGCTGTGGATCACATGGTCTACCAGTCCCTTGGACTAATATTTTTCATGCCACTCTGAGGCAGGAAGACTGGGCAGTCTACTTCTGTAAAGATTTACTGCCTCGGAAATCCAAAGGGGGTCACTATGAGTCAGAATCAACTCAGTGGCAGTGAATTTGGTTTTGGTTTATTTGGTTTTCTTCATTCTTCACAAAGTGAACTTTTGAAAAGCAGGGGTACCCGTACATCCTCAAAAACCCTATTTCCAAGTAAGGTCATGTCACATTCACAAATACTGAGGGTTAGGAACTGGACGTATCTTTTCTGGAGATACAATTTAATGCAGTGCACATAGTAACTGACCTCTGATAATGACGAGGTTTGTATTTTCAACTTAGACTCATTTGTTTAAAATATCAACTTGGAGTCAGAGAAGCATCTTACGCCTTAAAATGTCCCAACTTCTACTTTATCCCCAGGCCACATAGCCTTTCCTTGCTGGTCTACTCTGCTCTGGGAAATCTAGCTCCTCTCTTCCTGCTGCTTGGTGAGACCTGTGGAGCCCTCCTGACTCCTCTCCACCCTGCTTTCAGTCCCTCTGCAAATCCTTCTGGCAAATCCCTTGTTTGTGTGACATCCAGCCACAGCCTCCCCTTCTTAGTCACTCTGTCTGTTCTTCACACAGCAGTCAGAGGGATCCTCTCAAAGTGTAGGTCTTGTTACCCCTCTGTTGACAGCCTTCCTGTGATTTCCCACCCACTCAGACACACCCACAGTCTTCACTGTGGCCCTCACTGTCACCCCTCCAACTCCTGCCACCCATTCCCTTCTCATTTCTCTGCTCCACCATGCTGGTCTCCCAACTGTGCCTCACATGCACCACACATCCCCTCCCTTGGGCCCATGCCAGCCCTCCTTCTGTCCAGAATGTTCCTGCTCATGGGCGCCTTAACCCCCTGCCCTCTAATTATCCTCTTTTCCTGCTCTGTCATTTCCTTCATCCCTTTCTCATTTATTTATAGTTGACTGATTTGCATCTGTGTCTTCCCACTTGAATCTAAGCTCTGTCAAGTCAAGGACGTTGTATTTTTCTGCTGTATTTCCAGGGCATGAGACCATGTCTAACATGGGATAAACATTTGCAGGCACTAGTTTTTTCCTCTGCATCTTTTTGTGAAGTTTTGTGACTAGACCTCCCACATCCTAGCTCCTGCAAGGTGGGATAATGCTCATCCCTGGTGGAGGCTCTGGAATAACACTCTGAAATTGAAGCTGCTCTACTCTGTCTAGCTCTGTGGTCCTGCCCCCAGGCTTCACAGTATGAAATGTGCTTGTAAGAGAACTTCCTCTCTGGGCTGCATGAGGATGGCCCAAGTTAGGATGTAACTTGATCAGATGACACCTAGCATTTGCTGCTGCTGCCCGCACTGCTGTTAGTGAGCTGGACACCCCCATTCCTGTGAGCTGTTTTGCTCATGAAGTGCTTCCAGTTCCTTCTTCATCTGCTCATTGTGAGTTAGATGTGCTTCAGAGAAGCACAGTCTGATGGGTGACAATTGGTGGTCTTGCTGGTGCAGATCAGGTAGGCTCTGTCCTGGGCCTGCACAGCCCTCTAGACACATCCAGATGTGGTATCTCATGGCAGATTATACCCCTCGATGTGGACATGGTACGGTCAGGCTGGCCCTCTCCTACTCTGTGCCAGCATAGTCTGACATGGTACCGATGTGCTGTGTTCCTTGCATTTGTATTGCAGGTGTCTGTCATCCATGCCACTTTAGCTTCTGTCCATCATCCAGGCCATATTTGTATTATAGTCAGTTGCTGTGAATGTGCCTGTCTCAGTGGCCCCAAGCATTTCTTAAGCATTTTTGTCCTGGGTCACTCAGACCACTCTGTGGAGACACCACCAGTCCTGGTCTCGCCCTCACCGAGGCATTAGCCTAACCAGTGCGTTCTCTGTGAAGCCTGCCTTGAGCATGGGGCCCAAAAGGCCACCCTCTCACCCCTGACGTGGCAATCCTGGGAGTCCCTGTGTGGTGCTTACCTAGGGTCTCTCTGTCTCACTCCTCCTTGCCATGTTTACTCCAGAAAGCAGGGATCTTGCTGTCTTGTTCATGGCTGTGTTCCAGGGCCCGGAGCTGTCACTTGTGGGCGATGGCTCTTTATTATACTGTGGAGTCATAGTGGAGATCGTGATGACAAGGCTGGGCCAGCACAGTTTCCACAAGGTGTTTTAAAGATGGCTTCATTGTTCCATATGACAGTGTGTGTGTTTTTAAAAATTGTGTGGATGCTGTGAAGTAAGGGGGACAAAAAATGCTCTACAACTATTAACTGATGTTTTTCTGCTTTTGTTTTCCCAGACCACATTTGCTTTTGACTCAAGATGATTTGATGTCTTGTAATAAAACTCTCATTAACCATGATGGCTACACAGACATTAAGTATAGACAGCTATCAAGATGGGCAACAAGTGAGAGCTTTAACCTTACTTTTAATTGTAATTGCAGTTAATAGACCTAGTAATAAGACATGAAAAATGCTTTGTATATTTATACTTCAATTTCTTTGAGATTGGAAGTTCAATTTAAAGTATATTATACATATATGTGGGTGTTCAGAATGATAAGCTATAGAGTTGTTCAGATTATTGTCTTAAGAAAAATCATGACTACCACTAATTTTGACTCCTCTAAACCATGTAACAGTTTCTTGAGAATTTACCTTTTTAGTGTCAGGGTTAATGAAGATGGTAACTTTTAAGGGAAAGCTGCATATTTTGATAATTCATGATAAACAATTTTCATGTTGATCAGCCGCTTGTCTGAGTGTCCTCCTTGATCATGTTCTGATGGAAATCCTGTAGTTTCACATGCTCAGTTGTGAGCATGAGAAAGCACTGCAGTGGGAAGGATGAATCTATACGTCTACTTCTCCCAGCTCTGAGTGCTTTTCTCTAGAGTGGTGGTGGTTGTTGTTATGTGCCGTCGAGTCGGCCCTGACTCGTAGCGACCCCTCCTTGGGTTTCCGAGGCAGTATCACTACGGAAATAGGATTGCCCAGCCTTCCTTCCAAGGAGTGGCTGGTGGGTTTGAACCGCCAGCCTTCTGGTTAGCAGTCAAGTGCTTTAGCCACTATGTTACCAGAGCTCCTAGAGTGGTGGAAAAGAATATAATTATGTTCTGGTTACCTAGTGCCGCTCTGACAGGAATATACACCACAAATGGGATGGCCTGTTAAGGGGTTGATTCTCTTACAGTTTGGAGGCTTTAAGTCCAAGTTCGAAGTGCCAGGCTCTGGAGGCTGGGTGAAAGCCTCTCAGCCTTGGGCTTCAGCTCTGCCTCCAGCTCCCGGCCCCTTGAAGCTAGAGGCTTTTCTTCACTCAGATAGCTGCTGGCTGCTAAGGCTGCCAAGCCCAAGGTTGACAAGTAAAAAGACACAATCCCAATATTAAAGTCCATTGTAAATCCCCAGGTCGGCAGAGCATTGCAGGCTGCGGAACAATGACATGGCTACATGCAGGGTTCAAGGTGCCATAAGCTAGAGACTATCCCCAAGGCTTTTGCTTCTATATAGGAAGCAGACCACATTCCCTACGGCAGCTACTCAGCTGTTCATAGTAGATTCCACTATGGAGTTGATTAGCAGTCTCATCATGGGGAGTACTACATCCAGCTGCCCAGCCAAGTTGACACACAGACTGAAACATTTATTTTCACCTGTTTGCATGGAACTTTTGCTCTTTTTTTGTTTTTTTGGCTAGCATAATTTAATAAAGAACTCTGGTGGTGGAGTGCTAGGGCATTTGACTGCTAAGCAGAAGGTTAGTGTTTTAAACCCACCAGCTGCTCTGTGGAAAGAAGATGTGGCAATCTACTTCTGTAAAGATTTACCTGCTCAGAAACCATTGGGGTCCACTATGAGTCAGAATTGACTCAATGGCAGTAGGTTGTGGGTTTTGGGGTTTGTTTTTTTTTTTTTTTTGCTTTATAATTTAATAAATTTAGGTATTATTTGTTTTCATATCATAGGCAAATAACTCTTGATTTCTCTTCTTTCAAATGGGGACAGTAACAGTGCCAGGTACTATGTGGAGTACATTACACATGTTCTTTCCTTCCATAAATGAAGACAGCTGCCTGAGGTCCCAGAGCCATGCCAGGGTGGAGTTGGGGTCAGAGCCAAGAATGTTGTCCACTTCACTGAACACCCCTTCTAGGCTTGTGTAAAGGCAGGCCTGGAAGTTCCATCCCAGTGGAATAGTCACCATCTAGAAAACTTTGCTTGCTCTTGAACAAAATAAGTCATATCAAAATTTCTTATTTTATAGATAAATGTAGTAGCTAGTCATGTGGGAAATTAATTTAAAAATATTTTTATTCTGTTTTCTAGCTGAAACTAGAAAACTGAGTTATATTTGTTCATATGGGGAGAAATCCATTAACCGAGTTAAACTTTTTTGATATGGGCAGCATTTATAATAGTCTTACAGTGTGCTGGGCATCTAATGGTTGAGAGCTACTGGTACCCTATTTACAGAGTAATAAAACAATTGCAGCAATAGAAATTTTCTCCATATTTTGTTTGCTCTCTTTGGTTTAATATTATTTCAGTTCATTCATTGATTCATGTAACAAAGATGCATTAAGTCTCCTAATGTCCATAGTGTTATAGATGAAGACACAATACTTGACTATGGGAGGTAGACAAGTAGATAGTGTGATGATAGTGCAGACAGGGGCAGGGAGCATCTAGTTCAGCTTGAAGGAATTGGTTAGTTAAAGGGGAGAGGAGATAGTAGTAGTCAGGGAAGCTTCCCAGAAAGTTGGATTCATTAAGGGGGATAAGAGTATTAGGGAAGCTTGTCAGAAAGTTGAGTTACTTAAGCGAGGGTGGGTGATAGTCAGGGGAGCTTCCTATTGTTCTGGAGATTAGTTTTGAAGCAGAGGAGGGTCTGGTGAGGTTTTGCTGACCACTCAGGGCAGAGAAACAGCATATGCAGTGGCCCAGAGCAGTGAAACATCCTGCATTTTGGGATTTATAGGCAGATCAGCCTGAGTCAGGGATGAGCTGCTAGTTGCCCAGCTTCAGGAGGTGCACTGTGATCTGTGCCATTGGTGTCCTCTAGATTTACATAGACAGCAGGACATGGTGGTGCCCCTTAGTTGGAAAGGCCATGAAGAGTCTGTGAGCTCAGCTCTCCAGCCCAATTCAGGGCCCCACTGCAATGTCCTTGATAGCCAGCCTTCTTGACAATGATCACCACGATCCAGTAAGAGTGTGGAAAGAGGAGACTAGGTGGTGTTATAAAATAATATTCTGCAAAGGGGATTCATGGGTACCATATTCTTTGAGTTCTTTCATGTTTATAAATGTCTTCCTGTTGCTTTTGCACATGAATGCCATCTTCATTGGGAATAATTTGCTGACGTTAACACTTTTCCCTAAGAATATTGTAGACGTTTCTCCATTGTTTCCTGGCCAAGCTGCTGTGGGACAGTTTGAGGCCAAACTAATTTCCTCCTTAGAGATAATTAATTTTTCACGTGTGGATGCCTGAGGAATTTATCCTCCCTGAGGAATTTTTTTAATCTTTAAGGTTTAGTATGGAGTTGAGCCATGTCTCACATTGTATATTCTGTATCAAATTATCTTGGAGCTTGGCATGCCTTTTGATCTGTAGACTTAGTTCTTTGTCTGTTTCAGGAATCTTCTGCATTGTATCTCTGAAACTACTTATGTTCCCTTTGCTGTGTTCTCCACCTTAGATGTAATTGTCCAGAGGTCAAATTGTGTTTATCGGTCTTCCATATCAATTAACTTTTCTTTGATCAATTAATTGCCTTGATTTTTTTTGTCTTTTTCATCTGTGTATGTTTGTAATTTTCTTAGATCTTTCCTCTGCATTGGTAATTTAATTTTCACTGGTGTCTCTTCTGTTTTTCCTGTGTCTTAATTTATCTGTTAGTTGTAGAATGATGTTTGGGCCTCATTTGTTTCCTTAAGACTATAAACAGCCCCCACCCCCCAATCTCAATCAGTTCTTTTATCAGCTTAAATTTAACATAGATACCAACAGTATAAGCAATTATGAGGGATTTGTTTTTGCTCTCTTTCTTGTCTGGTTTCTTCAGCGTTGTTTTGTTTTTGTCTTTTGCTAGCTCTGTCCTCATCCCCCAGTAACACAGGTAGCTTGGTTTTACTATGCTGTCCTTTTACTTTTCTTATGCCAAGTTGTCTGGGCCTGCATAGTCCATTTTTCCAAATGTTATAGGGTAGCTTCTTGACTACATTCCTACCATATCTGAGACTTTGTTTTCCTTGCTACTCTGACAGCCATATGACAGTTTTGTGTTATATGACTTGGGAGGAGTTGGGGAACGGGATGGCCACAAGGGAAGCCTAGCTGAGGCACCACACGGTCTTTCTTGGACCAGTGAGGTTTGGGAAAAGCTCCAGGATATTTTTTTGGGAGTTGTGTCGGGGGTTGTTCCCCAGTGGGGGTTTTGGCTTACTACCCTCCTTGCTAGGAGCTCTGGTAGCGTAGTGCCTATGGCACTTGACTGCTAACCAGAAGGTTGGCAGTTCAAACCCACCAGCCACTCCTTGGAAGAAAGATGGGGCAATCTTCTTTCGTAGTGATACTGCCTCAAAAACCCAAGGAGGGGTCGCTATGAGTCAGATCTGACTTGATGGCACATAATAACAACAACAACAACAACAACAACAACCCTTCTTGCTTGGAACCCCATTTACATTGAGAAATTCACTTCTGCTGTTTGTTTTCCATTGACCAGGGCTTTACTACACAGAAAAGGGTATGGGATAAAAGAGTGCCCGTGCAATTTTCTTCTCTCTCTACTTCAGGACTTAGTGAGAATGCTCAGGATTGGGATTGATGCACAGGCACTGTTTAATTTTTCTGATTGGGCTCTAACCCTCATAACTAATTCCTGTGTGCTCCTGGGTTGGTTGGTCAGGAGTCAAGGTGGGCTATGCCTCTCCTCCTCTTGACTCGTGTTTCTTTTCTAGCTTGCTAGTGTTCCACCTTTCCTTGTCTGTTCTGTTGCAGAGATTTTTGTTGATTTTGTGCTTTTTGCATGTTTTAATAAAAATTGAGGGAGGGAAGTTCTTTGATATTTTAACTTGCTCTGTTAACCAAGTGTTTTTTTAATTTGTTTTTTTCCTATATGCAAATCTAATGATGTGCCCCTGCCTAAACCACCCAGTGGCTCTGCACAGATTTCAGGGAAAGTCCAGATGACATACCCTGCAAGGCCCAGCACCATCTGGCCCCCAGTCACCACCCTTGGCTCATCACTCACCACCCCTATACCAGCTTAGTCCTTTGACCTTCCCAGAGTCCCCAGGCCTTCTCCCAGCCATTGGCATGCACACACCTCTGCTAGGACATGCAGACTCAGCACTGGCTGTTCTTCTGTTCTTCGTCTCTTGGCATCAACTTGGCCAACTCTTCCAGGTCTTGGTTTAGCTCACACCTTCTTGACTCCTTGCCTATCCCATTTCATACTATAGCCTGCATCCCATTCCTCTTTTCTGATCTTGGTCCTCTCTCATAGTAGTGAACACCTTCTGACGTGTTCTATCACATGCTCATTTTCTGTGCTTACTGGGGTTGGCCTCCTGCTCTCAGACATTGGGTCCCCAGGACAGGGTTCTGGCCATGCTGGTCTCTGGTACAGCCGAGTGCCCTCTTAATGCCAAGCACACGAAAATGCTTTTTTTTTTAAAAAAATAGTTAAGCACTTTCCACGACATGGAAAAGTTTTTCTGAATATTATTTTAAATAAACAATATTCCATAGTATAGATATATTATCATTTACTTACCCATTATGCTGAGTTTCTTTTTTTTTCACAATCATTGAAAAAAATACTGACATAAATCTTTCAAGGCTGCTTTATACTTCCTGTCAGATTGCCCTCCAGAAAGGCTGTTTGGTGGAGCTTTAGTTACTTTAGGTCTTTTTTTTTTTTTAAGAGAGAGAAAAACTATTTCCTAAGTACATTGTGTAATCTAAAAGTGGTGCCTCCTCCACCACAAAATGGAAGTCATGTTGGCCACTCTGGATGTTGAGGAGAGGAGAACAGGTGCCTGGAGTGACAAGGTTCTACCCACACACATGCACTCACATGCATGCTCCCTTGGTTGGCTGCTTTGTTGAGGGCAGGGGCATGGCAAGCTGGGTGCCAGGCAGGAACCTGACCCACCCATAGGGCAGTGAGGCACCTATCTTTGCTTGTAGATGATTAGAAGTTCACTGTAGTAGTTTTGTTTTTTTGTAAGCCTAAACATCCTCTTCATACTTTTATTATTATTTTTTAACCTCAGTGGCAAACACATAATTTGTTGAAAGCAATTTTGACCATATATTTAAGGCCACTTCTTATGTTTATTCTAACTAATACTGCTTCTTTAAACACAGCTGTCTACTTTCTGGATGCATAACTTTTCTTAACTCTTTTATAGCTATATATTCCTGAGGTTTAAGGGTAGATAAGGGAAAATTTTGGCTTTATGTTTGTGACAAGATATGAAAAGCTTGGATTGTTTATCTTTCCATTGTTATGAGAAGATACATAGCAAGAGGATACAGGAGTAAGACTGCATATGTGTAGATCCCTTAAATAGTGTATAAGTATCATGATTTTAAAAATCAGATATTGATTACCTCAGTTCTTAAATGGTTCAGAAATTTGACCTTTATTTTATCTACTTGAATAGCACACTCAATTCAGAGAAATTTTTTGGCAATATTCTTTCTGTAGAGTTGCTAGTCACAGAGGTACCTGGGAAATTACCATTTTTATTGCATTTCTGTTTGGAAATAGGATGCATAGCAGCAGTTTGTCTTATGTTTGGTAACAAATTATCCTCCTTTTACAGATGCAAGTAGTAACAGAGTTAAAAACGGAGCAAGATCCTAACTGCTCTGAGCCTGATGCAGAAGGAGTGAGCCCTCCCCCTGTGGAATCTCAGACACCAATGGATGCAGACAAGCAGGCCATTTATAGGTATCTCTTGAGATGTGATGTGGTGGGGCTTTGAGGGGAATGAACAGAATAGAAGAACTTGTTAACTGGAATGCTAAAGCTGTTAACTAGAGACTCTGAGTGGTGCAAATGGTAACACACTTGGCTGCTGATTGAAAGTTTGTAGGTTTGAATCCACCCAAAGGCATCTTGGAAGAAAGGCCTGGTGATCTACTTCTGGAAAATCAGCCATTGAAAATCCTATGGAGACACATATGGGATTGCCATGAATTGGGGTTGACTTGCTGACAACTAGAAAAAATATTAACTAAGCAGTATTGGTAAGGTACCATTAAGTGGTAATTATACTTGAGTGAGCATTTCTCAGGTTAGATGTTATTTCTAATACTAAAAAAAAAAAAAAGTTTTGGAATATAAATAGATATTTTAGGTAACGTTGTAGAAAAGAAATCTTCTGTCCTGAATGATTTTACTGAAGAATTACACCAAACATGAATAGAAAAATAAAAATAGCAAGTCAATGTATTCTCTTCCAGAAAATAGAAGAGGAGGGACTACTTCCCAACTAATTTTATGAATCCAGTATCACTCAGATACTAAAACCAGACAAAGACAATACAAAAAAAGAAAACTATGAAATAATATCCCTCATGAACATAGTCATAAAAATTTTAAAAATATTAACAAATTAAGAATATATAAGAAGAATAATACTCTAAGATCAAATGGAGTCTACCCTAGGAATACAAGGCTGGTTCATTATTCAAAAATCAATCATTGAGCTCCCCCACATGATTATATCAATTATGCCAAAAAGCATTTGACAATTCAACATCCAGTTATGTGAAAAACCGTCAACAGCGTAGTAATAGAAGTGAAGTTTCTTAACCTGATAAAGAACATCTACAAAAACCAAAGTTAACATCTTACTTAATGGTGTAAAGACTGAATACTTACCCCCTGAGATCAGGAACATGTCCACTCTTATTATTCCTAATCAGCATTGTGTTAGAAGTTCTAGCCAATGCAGTAAGGCCAGAAAAAGAAATGAAAGACATACCAGATTAGAAATAAAACTGGCTCTTTACAAAGATGGCATTGTCTACATCGAAGACCCTAATGAGTGTACTGAAGACATTTTTGAACCAATAAGTGAGTTTATTAAGGTCGCAGCTTACAAGGGCAACATGGAAGGACCAGTTACCACTTCTATTCCAGTATTGTGCAATTAAAACAAGTCCAAGAGACACTGGGAGGAGGTAACTATGGGGAGGAAGTGGGAGGGGAGCTGCTGCATTGTAAATTTTGGTCAATGACATGAGACAAAGTATATGTGAACTG